ACAGGTGTGCGTTTCACTCGACATTTTATATATCGACTGCTAAAACTGGAAAGGAATTGCTCAGTACAGTCCCACTTTTGTATCCTGGTCTTAGTCAAACAAAACATATGGGCTGATTGGTTTTTCTGTATTGTACAACAATGCACTTAACGTTGATGCACCCGGAATTCTTTGGGGTTAATGCGTATGCGATTGTATGTGCATGGGAGAGGCTGAACAACCGGTAAAGACATCGGATGATAAGACTTGAATAATGTCTTTCTCCTGCTTAATGGTCGAACTTCCCAGAAGTTTCTGTCCATCAAACCAAAAATCAATCCACAAGCTAGCCGCGGATAAAAATGGTGAAAAAAGCTGCGTCTGTTGTTTGGTTTTACCACCAGTCTCGTTCAGTGCCGAGCGAACAGTATAGGACCACCGAAACACCTCGTTTATGCCATACTCCTGTCACCTGCGAAAAGCAGTAGGGCCGACCGAACCCTAACCACTTGAATCTTTACGGACACCCGGACGTTACAATGATGCGAAGGATGTCTAGCTCTGGTAAATGCCGACAGGACTTTTGCCTATGTGATGACATTTTAATGGGGGAAATCATGCACCAAAGGTGATGTGGAAGATTGAGTGGCTAAAATGACTCTAAACTGGTATGAGATGCACGTGAAATATTAATCAATCAGGGAGTCTGACGAAACTGATTCATATTTAGCAACTGGATCTTGAACGATGGGCAGAGAATTTTAAAGCACAATTTAGCTGGCTCCCGTCGACACGGGACCTCCCTATACCTGCCAGCGGACAACAGTCCTCCACACGAAATGTAGGTTACCCGAGAAGTAAATTATTTCCGGCCCGGACGGGCTGTATCCACAGGATTTTAAGCATGAAGAGTCAGCCTTGGTTTTGGAGTTAACGAAACTATTAAGTGAGGTGTGGGAGAGGGAACAGGTTCCAACTGAATGGTATGAATCGGTCATCATACCGATTTACAAGAAAGGTGACAGCTCCTCTTGTGAAGACCACAGCGGAATTAGTTTGACCAACATTGCCTCTAAACTTCTCACTGGCATCAAAATCCGTTGGGTGTCTGCCGCACGTGAAGAGCAAACGCGTGAGAATCAGGCTGGTTTTAGGCCTGGTCGAGGTTATATAAACCTCATTTTCACCCTTCGACACACTCTGGAGCACCGACGTTCTTTTCGTAGATCCACCATCTCTATCTGAAAGCGACCTTCGACTCAGGCGACCGCTCCAAACTCTGGCGTTGCCTTTCTCCGAAAAGTGTAACCGAGAAGTTTATTTCACTATTACAATCGCTTTATACGAACAGCAGAAGCCGAGTTCGAGCATATGGCACTTTTTCTGCCAAGTTAACTACGGGAAGTGGTCTTCGTTAGGGTTGCCCTCTCTCTCCATTTCTATCTAACGTTTTCATAGATTTAATTATTGAAACAGCCCTACCCTCGTACGCGGAGAACAGCATCGATTTCCTATCAGGTGGTAGACAATCTGATCTGAAGCATGCAGACGACATAGTGCTGTTAAGTGAAAATCCAGGTAAGTTGTAAGCTCCTCTGGATAGTTTGAGTGCGAGTGTATCCACATTTGACATGCGTTTTGCACCTTAAAAATGTGTAAAATGTTACTACAAGATTGGTTTGGCCCAACCCCCAAACTCACTCTCATTTGGCATTTGCCAGCTTGAGATATCTGTGGAGCCGTCGCGACAACCGGCTGTCTGTGAACGGTCGAGGGTATGCTACAGCGGCACGGCCACTTGCTCTACGGCGCAGAGACTTGACCATTAAGAAAACAGGATTGCCGGTGTTCGAAAACCACTGTCTACGCAGCATTGTACGAATCTGATGGGGTAGCCGGACCAGTAATGGCGTAGAGTTTTAGGTGATTGCGGTCGTCCACTGGAGCAAGTAGTCGACCTACATAGATTACGTTGTTTGGGGCATGTGTTACGCATGTCACCAATTAGATTGCCACGGCGAGCGATGTTTGCCGAGTTAGGTAGCGGTTGGAAAAAGATCAAGGGCGGTTAAACCGAGACCTGACACGAGGGTATGAAAACCCTAACCAGAACACTTGGTCATGAATTCTCTATTTTCCCTTTGAATTTGCTCCCAACATACCAATCTTTATTACGCTCTTTTATCCAAATAGGGACACCAAAAGACAGCAACCAAAACCGGCGCACGAATGCGCATGGTTAATGGGTATAGGAACTGAAAGTGCACATAAAACAGCATTGTTGACAACCAAACTATTAAAAAAAGCTTTCACTCTAGGTGAAGCTCTGCTCGACCAGATATTGTCGCCTTCATAATCTGAAATAGGCAATTCATTGCTAAGGAACTAGAGGTATAACGATAGATAGTTGAAAGGGTCAACGAACACCGCTTTCGCATGAAACCCAGCCGTGAACACAAACTCCGCTAAGATCATCGGCGCGCATGCGAGAGGTAAATGTATCCAATCAGTTTAGCGAGTAGATAGCTGCTTCCAGGTCAAGGGGAACGGAAGTGGTGTCCATGGTTGAGGTTTAGTGACCATTAAAGATGATACACCAGAGAAAATATAGGAATTAATCGATGCTATCGGCCTCCGTTATTACCTGTACCGAAAACTGGCTTTATGCGTTTGATGCCTTTATGTGTACAATTTAAATAGGTATGACCCCGAGGGCAGTCATGGGTGGGACTCAACCGAAAATGAAGCATACTACTCACCTTACAAATTGTTTGATATTCTTCAGCGTCTGAATCGTAACACGCCAGCAGGAATCCTCCGTAGCGTCCGGCGCGTTTTCCGGTCCCGTGAAATCCACCAATGACCACCAGGTCCAACGTGTCACCCACATTATCCAAATAGTCTTTTTTCAATTTCAACCAATTGTGCGATCGTTTGGCTATCTCGTATGTTGAGTTCCGATCAAGGGTTTTCACCATTAGACCCTCAC